GAGAGAGAGAGAGAGGGAGGGAGAAGGGAAAGAAGAAGGGAAAAAAAAAAGGAGCCACAGAGCAGGCAGGGTGTAGTGAGTCCATTCAGGTTTGGAGGTGTCAGTAGAAGATGAGGGAACATTTTCAGGTGCAAATCCACCTACTGTTTGTCACAGAGGTGGATGGAGGGGTGGGTGGGGGGTGTTTCACTCCTATATGTTATGTGGGGCTGAAGGCAGCACTTTAGCCGCAGGTATATGCTGCTGCTGCTGCTGCTGCTGCTACAGATGCTCATCGCATAAATCCAGATAGATGGATGGGGGTTGGGGAGACAGGCTATTAGGAGCATTAACCTGAGACTCCTGCGGTGTCCTGCTGCAACACAGGTGGCACATCTGCAGCCGCCGCCGCCACCGCCGCCACCGCCACCTCATAGGTAATCTCTGAATTAGATTCCGAACTGTTGTGCTCTGCATTTAAATGTTTCCACTGCCACTGATATTCCTTAATCTGGACGAATCATAAAAACGTCACAGTAGATGGTGGATCCCTGAATTGAAGCCTACGTAAGAAAACTCCTAAGGACACATGGAATCTTGTGTTTTCCAACACATGATCACCTACAGCATTTAGCAGCTCACTTGTGACGTCTTCCCAAAATAGGTATGAAATGATTGATTCCATCCTCCAGGAAGCAGGAAGTACTTAGTTGATTTATGGCCGAAGACTCAGGAGAGGAGAAGGACGGACGGCTGATTGAATGATAGTATGTTCGTACTCGTGTTTTATGCGGATGATAAAGTTATGTAAGCAGTGCTATCCTTCACAGCCGTAGTTTTGCGGTGCCTCCCGGAGAATGCTGCACGTACTGTAGTGTGCAGCCATGGAACTGAGCACAGACGCTGAAATCCATCACTTCTTGGTCTCAGGCAGGCGTGTTTGTTTGAGTGTGACATGTTTGCAGAGGGACCGAGAGTCTGAGTGTTTGAAAAAAAAAGAAAAAAAAGAAAGAAAGAAAGAAGAAGCTTGGGCTGGGTTGGGCTCTCTTTCTCGCGTCTCTCCCCAGCCCCGAAGTGGAGTGTCTATGCCCCCTCCCTCTCTCAGCGAGCTGCTGGCCCTTGGTCAGGTAACCAAAATAGGATAGTATCACAGGACGGTGAAAACCAAAGTGGCCCCGCCTGCCTCCATATGTGTGTTCATGTGAATGTGTGCGTCTGCGAGGCTCTCACCCGTACCTGTCATATATCCTATAACCTTATCTCTCTCTGTTCTCCCTGTGTTTGCCTGTTTGCTGCACCCCTCCCTCTAAACACGCCCGTTCCTTTCGCCCACCACCGACAACCTCCTGTCACAACACCCCGAAACCCCCATATGTACACTCTGAGTTGCTGGAGCCGTTGCTATGCCAACAGCCCACTTTCTGGCTGTAGCCGTGGGAGAATCTGATCTGAACTCAATCTGCCTCCCACTGGACACTGTAGGTAACTGCAGATCTCAAAGCATTCATTTCCATCAACCTCTCACTGGCAGCAAAAATTAATTAATTTTTTTTTAAAAATAGAAATAAAATTACTCGAAATTCCCATCAACCAATATGATCTGGAGGATTTTTTCTTTTTTGTTGAAAGTGTAGCCACAGTTAGTTGGTTAAACTGGCCCAGAGGTCCACCTCAGGTGCTGCTAGAGAGGCTGTTCCCCTGGCTGCAATAGCTCTTTACCTGAGAATGCACTGGAGTCCTGAATGAAGCATGATGGAGAATGAATAATTGAAGTTCACTCCCACATCAATAGTTAGGAGGTGGAGGAGGGGGGAGGTGCCTTGCTTCACTTTGATTCCCTAAGTCTTTCTCCAATCTCTAAAGCTCCTTCGAGCTCATCCTCAGATCATGTTTTTTTTTTTAGCCGTCTCTTCAAACCAATGGCCTGTAGTTGATACCATTAATAAACAGAAAATGCAATTACATCTCATGGCAACTATGACAACTAACACAAATTGTTAAAAATTCCATCCCCTAATCGAACGGTTGACATCCCCCCCCCCCCCCCCTCCGCCCCGCCCTGCCTTGCCCCGGTTCCTGTCGCTGGTTGATGTGATTGTCTCTCTGCCTGTCTCGTTTGCTTGCTTTTTCTGTCTGTCTATTTGTCAGTAAATTCTTCCCTGGTTCTGTCCTCGTCTCCTGCCAAAACTGCACACATTATTGCATTCAACAACAGGCAATTCAATCATGCAAATTTGCAGTTTAGACCCAAAAAGGAAAAAACAAACAAACAAAAAAAAACAACACGTGTCCCGTTTACGCACATTCTCAGGAAACCCTGAGAATGCTGGCCAGACAGACAGACGTTCTATGGGCTTCTCGTTTTCCTGCCCGTCCCAGGCATTGCCTTCACTCTCTTGAGTGACACCTACTTGCATATGTGGCATATGCACACGTAGCCAATGCCCGTTTGTGCTTTGGCCCCTGTTCTCCCGAGGCCTCCCTTTTAGAGTGTTACTAAGTGTTTGGAATCCCAAGTCGGACTCAAACCCGTTTGCACTTTCAATCAATTTTTACAAATGATCATTTTCCTCATTTGTAACACTCTAAATTTGCACTTTCTATGTTCTTACTATTTGTCAGATTTTTTTGTGTTTTTCAAAAGATTTATATACAGTAAATATATATATATATATTGTATGAAATATTTACAGCTTATTTTCCCCTTTTCTTTATTTTATCTCATCTTTTCTTTTTATCTCCTAAAGAACGATGGTTCTTCTCTCTGATTCCCCCCCCCCCGTGTTCAATTATATTTACTGTCTCTTTCTTTTCTTCTCTGTGCTCTTTTTCTCCTTTCAGCATGTTCACCCTGTTGTCTCCTGTTACTAGATATATTGCGTGTTCTTAGGTTTTTTTTATTTTTCTTCTTTTATTCTTTGAAACTTATCGGACTGATGGTACTAAGGCTCTCTTGTGTTTCCAGGCTGCCTATTCATCCCCTATCTTTTCTTGCAGCTCCGTTTTTCTCTCTAATGTGCTGGTGTTTGGAATGATCTCACTCTGTTTTGGTTTCGGTTTCTGTAACCTCGCTGTTCATGCTATTAATACTCTCTGTCTCTCTATACAGATAAATGGTTTTCTGCTTGCTTTTCTATTCCGTGCGCTCCTCCTTCAACCTTCTATCTTTTCAACAGTCTTTAAATTTTCTGTCCAGTTTTGTTTTGTTTTTTGTTTTTGTTTTTGTGTGTGTCTGCGACTTCAGCGTCCACTCTGCGTCTGCTCATGTCTGTTCCGTTCTCCCGTGTTGTTGTTATTTTCTTTTTACTCTCTGGTCGTTGCCTACTTGTGTTTCAGTGTCGGCCTCTCCGTGTGCCTTAACTATCCATACATGGAGTGCTGTGTGTCCGATGATTTATGTCACATTGCATCTCCTCTCTTTCTTCTTTGGTATTTTCTCCTGGTTTCTTCGTTCTCATAATTCTTATCCCTTTCATTTTCCCCATTTCTTACAGTTTATTTTTTTTATTTTTCTTGACTCTTCTCTTCTTTGTAAATGCCTTGTTTTCTAATGTATGAACATAGAGGGTTTTTCCCCCCCAGAGTGTTTGACCTACTTAACGTTTTTTTTTTACCTATATACCAGATGTATTATGGGAGATCATTTCTCTCTCTAATTTTTGTCCTGACTTCAACTGTGTGTTTTTGACAATACGTTTGTAACAGAGACCTCCTAAAAGCGAACACACCTGTCCTGTTGACTGTCCTGTCCTATATGTGCTGTTCACGTGTGTCTCCTGTATCAATGTTGTCTTACTATACCTGTCCCTTATATGTGTGTGTGTGTCTTGTCTTCAGGATTGTTTCAGCTCTGAGATGCTTAACTGTTCTATTTTTATTTCCTCGTATTGAGGGCTCTGTGTCGTCTAAAAAAAAATGTCTGTCTTTTTTGTTGGAGGTAACTTTCCTGTTAGAGACTTGGATTTTTGCCACACTGAACATATGTATAGTCATTTCAGATTCCAGGTTTCATCAAACACAACTGATCCCACCCGATGTCCTCAGTTCTAGTGCCTGATATTGTTCTTTGAAATTTTTGGCAGATTTTTTTATTTGGCTTTGGCTAGAAAAAAAAAAAAAAAGAGCTCAACCTACTTTAAAGTGACATCCATCCAATGAAAAGCATTTGGTCGTCTCAGTTAGACTGGTCTGTAGGAGGAGGTCCGACTCCCTGTGTACTTAGACATTTTCTGGATAAGAGTTAGCTTCTCAGGCTGTGTCCTCCTCGTTGTTGTTTTCCCTCTGGGTCAAACTGTGCTTTTTCTTCCAGGGGAAACAAACCAGCTAACAGCCCTAAGGGCCAACCCCCGGATGCTGACGGTCAGTCCACTGTAACTGACCTGGCCAATTCTCTCACTGGAGACATGGTGATGGTAAGACCCTCTGTCCCAACAAACACACCGTCGTTGACCTCTTCATGCCCACTACTGTTAGACCCACGTTACTGCATGAATAAAGCAGATCAATGTTGCTTGGTGATAATGTCACCTCTGCAGTTTTTTTATGATTGAAAAAAAAAAAACTATTACCAGTGTTCATTCTACTGGAGAAAAATGTCACTCAGAAAAATGATGTCGGTGATTTTGGTATTTTTAATCATTTTTTTGACATAGTGTTGATTTAGGGCACAAAGAAAAAAAAAAATCAAATCAGTCTTTAGACGTTGTTTGTTAGCAGACTATATATATATATTTTTTTCTTGTGAATTAATGACTAGAGGAAAAATACAGACTTTTCTCAAGAACCAACAGAAATCCCAGAGGCCATGTCACTGCATGGTGGTTGCTGGTTACGCCTGGTTCATTTGCTGTACTAGTTACAGCTTTTTTTTTCAAGGACTTAACTTTTCTCCCGTGCCCCTTCTTTCACATAACATTTTGAGTTTGCTGGTGATTGGCAATAAACCCGTTAAGTCCAGATCTGATCGACCAGAGTCAGCGTCAGACTTCTACCTTCCTGTAAATCCCTAGGCGTACCTACATTTAGCCATGCTCTACGTGAGATAATTCTAGGTCTTGGTTGTGGAGCCTGGTGCTGCTGAGCCACGGTTCGCGCACAGGTTGATTTACAGCTGCACATGGTAATAACAGAGCTGCATGCACAGGCAGTTCCCACGGTGGCAATCAAGCGATCCAAGCCATCCAAGGTGACTCACGCTGTTTGATGAATTAGACTTGGAATATTTCACACTTGCGCTGCCTGTCATTTCTGAAGGCCCTATTGACAAACTATAAGTGAGCACTTTCGGTGGATTTAATGCTATATACCTCTGGTGTGAAAGCCTGAAATCAGCCCTTTTTCTTAGGTCATGTCACCAGGTTCTGGTTCTGGTTCGGCCTGGCTTCAGTGAAGGAATGTCACTCGTCGAATCGGTGCAGGCTGTGGTCAGAGAGGGGAAGAAACAAAAGGACACAGCCAGAATGTGTCTTATGAAGTCACATGGAGAAAACAATGATTAAAAAAAAAAAAGTGCCAACCTTGGTCTGTCCCTTCATGGCCATTTGCTCCTGTCCCTCAAATAATGCCTTCTCTGCCCTTCTCTGATTTCTCTGGTTCTCTCTGTCCGTTACTTTCCATCAGATAGTGGCCCTTAGCATACAGAGCAGCGATAAAGCCAGAGTGGCTGTTAGAGGGAGTAGGTGGTCTAATGCCTACCTATCATCCAAGCATCTCCTGCCTCTTAAGCACAATATTCAGCGTCCTCTTCGTTCGTCAGAGTTGTCTCTCTACTCACTTCTCCAAGGCGGCGACTTGTTTCTGTCATAGTTTGAGCGTACCTTTCTTGTGTGAGCGAACGTCGTCTCTGGGTGTGTGTGTTTGACACCTTCTCTGGCCCAACAGTTATCCCCAGGCTCGGAGGACGACGACGGTGAAGGGCCAATCAGTGAGAAGCTCGGGCGCATCCAGTTCAGCATAGGCTACAGTTTCCAGAACACGACTCTCACTGTCAAAGTTCTCAAGGGTCAAGACCTGCCGGCCAAAGACTTCTCTGGCACCTCCGACCCTTTTGTCAAGATCTACCTGCTGCCTGACAAGAAGCACAAGCTGGAAACAAAGGTCAAGAGGAAAAACCTCAACCCCCACTGGAATGAAACGTTCCTCTTTGAAGGTCTGTGTCTTTGACTTACCTTGTTTTTGTGCTGCTGAAAAAAAAAAAGAAAATATAAATCAAGAAAAAACATACTTTCAAAACCACCATTCAGACTAATGTGACGTCTGTGCTTAGATCAGTGTTTCCCAAACTTTTTTTCTGGGGACCCGTATTTTAAAAGTCACAAACCTTCGCGACCCAAGTCAATAGACATTATTCGTAAACTCCTGGGAAACATTATGATTGGAAACGGTACTAGTTTTTGTGTAAGTGGATCTGGATGATTCCTGTCAGTCTCTGAGTGTAAAAAATTAAAAAAAAAACATCCTTGACTTCACAGGGGGAGATGACATTTACTGATTCAAAGCCGTGTCATTCGGCTGAGTCATTTAACTCACTGTCTTTTGCCCATGTCTCTGTTCAAGGCTTCCCCTACGAGAAGGTCAGAGAGCGCACACTTTACCTGCAGGTGTTGGACTATGACCGCTTCAGCAGGAACGACCCCATTGGAGAGGTGTCAATCCCCCTTAATAAGGTGGAACTGGGTCAACTGAAGACCTTCTGGAAAGAGCTCAAGCCCTGCAGTGACGGCAGTGTGAGTGATCGTGGCGCAGCAGAACAGAATCATCAGCTAAAGATCGGGTCACGCCATTGGTGGAATACTGCAGAGCTGAAACACAACTTCTACTTCTAGAAGAGTTGTTGTGCTTCCTGAAAATGTAGTCTTTCATTTGACGGTTCACTAAGACGTTCATCACGCGCAGTAAAAACAATATCAAGTAAACCAGGAAGTTAATCCGAAACGTTGTCGTTGAGGCACGTTCGTGTTGGCAGAACTTTCTTCTCTGATGTCTGACTGAGTCGTCAGTGACCACGGTTAATGTAGAAAGGCGTAAATGTTATTACTATTCTGCTGGCCACGAGGAGTTACACCGAAGAAAGTCATTATAAAAATAGTTTAGACAATTAAAACGCTAATTACAAATTGGAAGCAAACACACAAGACAGGAACAGGTGGGTGGGGGGAGGCAGGAAGTGGTACAGACGGAGAGAAAACAAAAGGTGAGACCACTAAGAATTAAAGGCGGCGCTGGCTGAACATAGAGAACAGATAACTCCACAGGAGTCGGATGTGAAACCAAGACTCCCCAAAAACTCGTGACAAACGTCTGAGAAAAAGGAGTGAGTCATTCTTGACTTTGTTTGTTTGTGTGTGTGTGTTTTCTCAGGGGAGACGAGGTGACCTGCTGGTGTCTCTCTGTTATAATCCCACTGCCAACACCATCACTGTGAACATCATCAAAGCGCGTCATCTCAAAGCTATGGATATCGGGGGAACCTCAGGTAGAGAACCTTCCTTTTTTGTTTGCCCAGATTTGTTTTTTTTTTTCTTCATACAACCTGTGTTGACTTGTCTGAAGTTCTTCAAACGACATTGGGCTTTTGGACACTTCACTCACAGCTCGGGCATTTGAACTTGTCCTCCCCCTTTTTTGCGCTCTTGGCGGTTACTGTCTGGCTGTTAAGTCCTACCGTAGATAACTTCAGCAGCAAGGTGACATTACATCAAGTGTCCTCGCTGGCCTCTCTATCCCGTTCTATCTCTTCATGTTTATCTTTCAGGATCTTCAGCCTCCCGGCAAAATCTGTCACCCTCATCTGGGAAAGTGTTTCTGTGCTGTATTCTCGTGAAATTTCTATATCCTATCGTACAATAAGTAGAGATGCTACTAGAAATCCCTGCCATATATCCACGGAGTTGTACGTCTGTGTCCTAGAGCAGCGGTCCCCATCTTTTTTTGCGCCGCAGACCGGCCTTTAAGGTGTGGCTGATAAATACAAAATAAAATGATACGACGGGGATAAAAACTGGTATTTTCTAAATATAATAATAAACTTTAAGGTCACTGTGTATTAGCAGCGTCCTCATTGGCCGTTTTACCCTGCGCAAAGAAACTTTCCAAGAACGTTTTTCCAAATAAAACATCGTTCAGAATCAGATAATAACTAAAACGGAAATTACGCGTTCTTTCTGTGCGACCCGGTACCAATTCACTCCCGGACCGGTGCTGGCCCGCGCCCCGGGGGTTGGACACCACTGGCCTAGAGCACAACCTGAGCCTCTGTTTTAAACCTTCTGCCTTAGATCCATATGTGAAGGTGTGGCTGATGCACAAGGACAAGCGCGTAGAGAAAAAGAAAACCGTGACGATGAAGCGCTGCCTGAACCCCGTCTTCAACGAGTCCTTCCCCTTCGACGTGCCCGCCCATGTGCTGAGGGAGACCACCATCATCATCACTGTCATGGACAAGGACAGGCTCAGCCGTAATGATGTCATCGGGAAGGTACGCACGGCCCGGCCGCTTTTCTCCCTTTTTGACGTTAATCCCGAGGCGCGTTGTGGTGTGGGTCCGTTTTAGCATTTGTCCAGCTTTTCTAACGAGACAGGGATTTATATTTATCACAACTATGTGTTATTTGCTTAAATCATTTGTTGATGTGTTTTTTTTTTCATTAACGCATGAAATATTAACCTCAATAGTTTATTAGCACTAATCTGAAGGTGTTAGAGTTCTGCTGAGGAGAAAAAAAAAACAATCATTTTAATTTTAAACCACATTAATTAAACAACACTGCACATGTAGAAACATGTCGAATTACCTTTTAGTTTGGACTCAGCCGACTTTTCCCTTTCCTTATTTTTTGACGTCTGTCATTTTCCACCCATCGTTATCTAAGACGATCAAAAGCTAAAAGTCACTCGGCAGTTTTGAAATAGGGCTAAGAACAGGTGGAAACATTCCTTGATTCCAAGGTGTTTTCTTTTAAATGTGGAGACACATTAAACAAGCACTAAATAGTAGCACCGCTGTACGGAAGTTCATGATTATGGAGGTGTGTTGAGTAAACTTCACCTACTGTAATGACAGTGTACAACCCAGACTGCTGTTCTTCCACTGTCACGCTGTCACTGACGGACTAATGGGTATTAAAATATGCTGCAGACTAGAACAGCCTGAGGCTGAGGGAATAATGTAACTGTCTATTTTGAAGGTTCACCCTCGTCTTAGGATTCACCACCAGCTCTAATGGAGTTTGGCTCTTTCCGAATCGTGGTGTTGTTCATTTTGTAGAGTTTTTTTTTTTTTTTTTGGAATTGTCTTGTATAACAGGCGGGAATGAACCGTCGTCGAACCATTAAACGATGAGGAGTTTTTAGTTTGCAATGATCCCCCTCTTGCGAACTGCGGTCATGGTTTTGTGATATCTGCCTCCACTCTCACAGATCTACCTGTCATGGAAGAGTGGACCAGCCGAGGTGAAGCACTGGAAAGACATGCTCGCTCGACCACGTACCAACGTCGCCCAGTGGCACTCTCTCAAGGCCTGATTTCGCCACCCAGCTTCCTTCATGGCCACTGTCGTCCTCCTGTCCCCCTCCTCCCCTTCTCCTCTTCTCCCCTCTCACTCCCGTCCTTATGCACAAGACTGACTTGCTGCCAGGCTGCAAAACACGGGTACAATTAGCCATCTGCTCTCTTAAACCTTTAAAGTCTTTTCTTTTTCAATCTCTATTTCTCTCCGACCAGTCACCCCTCGCCCGCGCCCTCCTTTGATTAAGCCGTGTTATTTCTCGCCACTTTGCCGACGGTCTCAGACTCTCCGCCTGTCTGTCTGTCTGTCTTTCAGCCAGTCGTTATGCACCCTGTCTATGTCTGATGTTCACTCGCTTTGTCGACTCTGTGGTTGTGAACTGCAGCCTCTGATCCAGTCACGGTTCCAGTCTCCTGGACTGACTGAAAATCCCCCAAATATAATCCAAACTAATGATATCCTGACATGAATATTCCAAGGACACAGTACTACTTAATATGCGCCAATTATACAGAATGTATCCAGGCTGGTTAACTCCCTCTGTTCCTACAAAAGTCTACTGTATGTTATCTGGTACCTCGTCCCCTGTTGGCGTCTTCCTCATCCTGCCGCTCCTCCCCTACGCCCATCTCTCCTCTGGGTTTTAATGTTCATCTGAAGATGTCTGAACCATTCCTCAGTTTGTGTTGAAACCGCCTGAACCTAGGATGAAATTATGGACACAGCTTTTTCTTCCCTCCCGCTCTTCTCTCCGTCGTTTTCGTCTTCAAACTCTTCTCTTCCTTGAGCACAACATTATTGGGACCCTGCTTCCTTCACCTTTTGGACCCTCCACTCCTTGTTGTCTGTGTGCTGTGGGTGCTGTGCCGTAGCTCAAACTAAATAGAGGTTTAAAAAAAAAACAAAAAACGACTCAACTGAAGTTTCCGATGTCTGGAAAGCAGGAACACAACTTTGGAAAGGATTTTTTTTTTCCCCGACGTGGAGAGAGAAAAAAGAAGATGAAAAAAAAAACAAAAACCAAGCGATATGATGATGTCATTCTTCACAGCATCACCAACCGAGGAAACTAATGTAAATCTTCTTCTGATGTTAAAATCTCAACCGAAGCCAAACGCAAACTTTTTGCTGTTGGTGCACATGCATTTTCTGGTGTGTGCACGCGTGTGTGTTTAATGACGCTACAAATTCTTTGTGCTGCCCTCTGCCCTGGCGGGGGCTCGACCTCGGCCTCCGACAGTTTTGGCCTGTACAGTGTGCTGCCTTACTGTGTGTGCACGCATGTTTGTGTGTGTGTGTGCGTGTGTGTCAACAGGGGCAACATAATCCTGAGCGGGGCAGAAATCTTCTTCTCTTTTCTCTTTCTTGTCTTGTGCTCTTCTCGCTCTTTTTACTGCCACCGTTTCCCCAGACTCTTTACTGCCCGGCCTCCAACACGAGGGGACGTTCTATCTGCACTTTTTGAAAATTTCAGAACACCGATAACGGCGTTGGAGATCATTTTGATGATGATTATAGCGCCTCTGAAAGAAAGCAGGAACACAACTTTGGAAAGGATTTTTTTTTTCCCCGAAGTGGAGAGAGAAAAAAGAAGATGAAAAAAAAAAAAAAACCAAGCGATATGATGATGTCATTCTTCACAGCATCACCAACCGAGGAAACTAATGTAAATCTTCTTCTGATGTTAAAATCTCAACCGAAGCCAAACGCAAACTTTTTGCTGTTGGTGCACATGCATTTTCTGGTGTGTGCACGCGTGTGTGTTTATTGATGCTACAAATTCTTTGTGCTGCCCTCTGCCCTGGCGGGGGCTCGACCTCGGCCTCCGACAGTTTTGGCCTGTACAGTGTGCTGCCTTACTGTGTGTGCACGCATGTTTGTGTGTGTGTGTGCGTGTGTGTCAACAGGGGCAACATAATCCTGAGCGGGGCAGAAATCTTCTTCTCTTTTCTCTTTCTTGTCTTGTGCTCTTCTCGCTCTTTTTACTGCCACCGTTTCCCCAGACTCTTTACTGCCCGGCCTCCAACACGAGGGGACGTTCTATCTGCACTTTTTGAAAATTTCAGAACACCGATAACGGCGTTGGAGATCATTTTGATGATGATTATAGCGCCTCTGAAAACGAAGGGTGAAACCTCGAAGGGGGGGAGGCGACGTCTGCTCTGTGATTTCAGGGATTTTTGAGGTGAAGGCGATGACGCAGAGGACGGACGTAGGGCTCTCGTCCTCCTCTCCGGCTTCCTCTTGATTGCACCTGCATGAGAGCGTTTGCGCGTCTCCCACGAGACGTCTGCTAACAGGACACTAGTGTCCAGGATAGTTGGACCGGAGCAGAGAAATCGGGTCCATCTGCTTCTCACATGAAGCCAACGCGACACCATGTTGTTATTACGCAGTGTGTTGACGAGCAGCAGGCATGCTCCGAGCTGTCACTCTGTGAGGGTTTCACTCCACCATGTCCACAGTGCACCTGCGCAGGGGAGGGTAAAGTAAAGGAGAGACGCCACTGTTTTAGTCGGAGGTTTTGTCGTTGTTCGCGGAAAAACCACCATCATCTGAGTGTATCGCGGACGAGCGCGAGAGACTTTAGACAACGGTGTAATCTGCCGCCGTGAGATACTGCCAGGGCAGATAAGGCATTATCTCTCTCCTGAGTGCTCGACAGTATCAGAGAGCGAACTCGTAGAGTTGCCCCGCTTGTTGTAAATAATCAGAAAGCGGCGCCGTGAACGCCGCAGTTACTAAGAGGCCCACTTACAGACGTCTGCCCTTTTGTTTCTCCGCTCTCGTGTTTTCACGTAATCCACTTTGCCTGTTGAAAACAATTTTCAAACAGTTTGGTTTTTTTTTTTTTGCTCCTCTCCAAAAGGACTATCTGCGATTGAAATATCTCAATCAGAGCAGGCAACAGTAACGTAGCGTTTTTCCGAGGCTTCTCCACTGGCTCTGCTGATGAAGTATCTGTCGTCCCTCTTAATCCTGACTCTCGGTGGATTCAATCGACATTCATCCATGCAGTCACAACCTAATAGCGTCTTGTTGTGGTAAGGGGCTTTTTTTTAGATGGGGAATGATAAACTCAGCGCTTTGAAAATTCTAGTGCTCCTAAATTGACCTCGTCATGTTTTCACGTAATCCCCTTTGCCTTTTTAAAAAAATTTTTAAAAAGTTTTGTTTTTTTTTTTTTGCTCCTCTCCAAAAGTACTATCTGCGTTTGAAATATCTCAATCAGAGCAGGCAACAGTAACGTAGCGTTTTTCCGAGGCTTCTCCACTGGCTCTGCTGATGAAGTATCTGTCGTTCCTCTTAATCCTGACTCTCGGTGGATTCAATCGACATTCATCCATGCAGTCACAACCTAATAGCGTCTTGTTGTGGTAAGGGGCTTTTTTTTAAAATGGGGAATGATAAACTCAGCGCTTTGAAAATTCTAGTGCTCCTAAATTGACCTCGTCAGTGTCTCTGAAGAGCTGCACAACGACGTGTTCTGAGCTGCGTGCATCGCACAGGCCTTTGTACTGACTCTACTAAGTATCCTCCAGAATAATCAGCCAGCCATGGCCCAGAGCCCACTGTTGACAGTCGCTGCCTGCAGTGTACCGACACTACCTTGCCACCAGGTGGCCAGCGCTCACCTGAGACTTTTCTTTGTACCTCGGCAGTAACTGCACGAGATCGTACTTGAGAAAACTCTTTATACCAAGCACGGAGAGTTTACATTCCCATCAACGGAGATTATTATAATGAGATCTACAAACATCTACCAACATGATGGAAATAATTAGTTCCAGGTGTAAATGACTGGTCCAAATGTACATTTAAAAAAACGTGTCAAATCAAATTAAAAAAACAAAACAAAACATCTGCCATTACCTTCCACCAGGAATACATCTCGCTCAAGATGTGATAAATTGTTATGCTACGGGGTTTTTTTTTTTTGTTTTTGTTTTTTACAGTGCTTCGTCATCATCCTGTGGGATTTGGTTTTATTTTTAGCAGCACAATGCACAGTGTGATGCCACGGATCTCCGAGGTAGACTGGGTGCTGGAAGACAAGACTTTGCCTTTTCAAACGTGCAATATTTGGTGCCGCTGAACGCAAATACTAAATATGCAAATCCCAAATATATCGCTGTCTGAGATTTCTAGGTGTGTTCAACAGGACCTTTATTAACTAACAAGCCATCCAAATTTACATATACCCTTCAGGGAAAAGCAGTGTGTTGTCTAAAAAAAAAATAGATTTTTTTTTTTTTTTTTTAATTTTATTTTATAACTCAGTGTTTCTGTACTCTTTGTGCTAGAAAGTACAAAAACTCCAGCAGGCAGAGTTCAGCAGAGTCGCCGAAAGTTTCCCAGTTTCTTAAAATACAGCAGCAGTCACACGGCAGCGCCGTTAAAATGGATGGTCAGCTCAGAGCCAAACGGCGTACAGAAGGAAGCAATTTCCAAATCCCGGTTTTATTATGGTGCCACCTGTCCCGCACCTCCAAACTTATTGCATTCCGTTGGCAGCAGCGGTGTCAGCGGTGACCTTCAGCGGTCGTCAGCTCATGAATACGGTGTGGCCGCCGCGTTGCCGTCAGGACTCCCGGTCAGAACTTCTTTCAGACTAGAGCTTTCCCCTCCGTGAGCTCGGAGCTCTGCTGGCTTTTATTTCATCACTGCTGTGTCCTCCTGCTGGAGCCAACTGCTGGTGCAGGTGTGGTAATTAATGTTTGATTACTGTGCTTTAACGCCACGGCAGCACACTCCGCCGAGCGCGCCCGCAACTTTGTCTCTAAATAAAGCCTGTCCAGAACAGGTTTTTTTTACTCGTGCTAATTGAGTTTTCGCGCGGTTAACGCGATGTTTCTCCATTTACCGCTCCATCTGGACAGTGTTGGAACACAACCTGATACGATTTGTCTGGAATTGAAGGCAGCTGCATCTGTTTGTCTGACTCACGTCTACTGTTTTCAGCAAGAAAAATAATCACCTTCAGACAAACTGGTGTTACAGTATGGAGGGATTAAAGCCACGCCTCCTGCTGCAGCCCCGGGCTCGGTTTCTGTAGTGGAAGTTGTTTTCTTCTGATGGTCTCTTGTCTCCTTCACTTCAATCATGGACTCCACTGGTTGTTTGGCTCTTCTTCCTGACAGCTTTATCATCATCATCATCATCAACAACACTTGATCCACTCTCTGTCCTCAGCCGGATCATCATCACGTCCAGACCATGTCAACTCTCCTCTTACTTTAACTCCAAACTGCCCAGACTTTGTCTGCTACTTTAAGGAAGTCCCGCCTTCCGTTCCTGTCCGTGCCGGTCAGCAAAGATCTCTCCACCTTTTCTCCCAATCATCATATCACAGCAGGTCTCAGTGCTGTCTTGGAAACCTTCTCATTTAGACATTTGTCTGCCTGCATTCTCCTCTTCATCCTCTTGAGGCGCTGCATGCCACTTTGAACTCGTTCATTAACTCCTTCTCCAGGACCA